ATGCTATTTGCTATTTGGAAAATCTTCGAGGAGTAATTCTTGGAAGAGTCTTTTTTTTTTCTGGGAGAGAATGGAATTAAAGAAATAAAAAAAAAAGAAAAAGAAAATGAAGAATTTGAGACTTTACGGCTGAGACGATTTCGTTTAGAATCAACATATCACATTTTGATTCACCATTTCACTACAAATGTAGAAATTATGAAATGATAAATTTATACCGTATTTCAGATTTCGTTATATTACGGTGCTATAGAAAGACAACTTGTAGTTACCATAAGACATGCAACAGATTTACCACCTCGACCAGATGGTACCGCACGTAATCCATATGTCAAATTATTTCTTCTACCAGATCGAAGCGAGAAAAGTCGTCGACAATCTGCGGTGCTTATCGAAACATGTAATCCAATTTGGAATGAACCATTTTATTATCATGGACTCACTAAATCTATGCTAATGGAACGTGTTTTGGAGGTTTTCCTTTTATTTTAATTTATAATTTTTAATTAAAATTAAATTTTATCTATATAGTGATAACCTGATAAAATTTTAATTTTTTTTTGCTTTTTATAATTTAGATCATATAAAAATGACGGATAAATGATTATCATCTTCAATTTGTTAAAAATTTCATACTTTAAATAATGGAAAATTATTTAATTTATGATAATTGTATAAAAATTTTTCAATTATATGAAATACATTTTAAGGTGACAGTATGGGATTACGATCAGTATGAGACAAATTCATTTATGGGTGAAGTATTGATTGATTTTACAATTGCCCAATTAGATGATGAACCATTTTTATATACATTGATAGATATGGATGAAGATAATCCGCTTAGAGCGGTTAGTTTTTTTTTTTTGGAAATTAATTTACTGAATTTTCAAATTAAAAGCAATAGTTCATAGTTCAGAAATCAAAAAGGCTTTAATGAGTAACACTAAATTATAGCATTAATGAATTTTTGATGATTAATTAGCAATTTCAGAAGTTACAACAACGTCGTCTTAATATTTATCACGCATCTACACGTTCACAAAGTGAAATGGGACATTATTCAACTAGTAATCAACAACGTGGTTTGTGTAATTATTTATTTGTATGAATATTTTTATATTTTAGGCAAAAAAAATTATTTTATCACTTTCACGAAATGCCAATTTTCAGGGACCGATAATACGAGTACTTATGAAGCGTATCGGCCTAGATCACGACAGGTATCATTTGTTACATATGATTATTCATTCAGTAATATATATGAAAAGAAAAGGAATACCTTATTATATTATCAAAATACCATATCTTTTCATCATAAGCAATCATTATTAAATTATGTATATATCAAAAAAAAAAGTCGATGCTATTGGTTTTTTTAAAAAAAAATCTGTTTTTCAGGAAGAAATTTTAAATTTACACTTTCATTAATGAGGATAGATAATTTTAATTATTTGTTAATTCAGTCATATCATATTTGTTGACAGAAATTTACCCATAAAAGAGGAAGAAAAGTTCATTTAATAAAAACGGAAAACTAAAAGAAAACAGTTTGGAGATATTTTTGAAAAAAAAAAAAAACAATAGATTATAAAGAGAATGCATGATGGCATTGACAAATTCCTGAATTGTCACAAATGAAAGAGTAATAAATCAACAAATATTTTAGTATAATTCCAACATCTTCAAATGCCACACTTATCCTTACATTTATTATTTTAATCTTTTTCTTTTCTTCTTTTTGTTTCTTCCATTTAATATCATTTTGCCTTTCTTCAAACTAATGTTTATTATTTATTCCTAATTTAGCTTTTTCTTTCTTCTTTAAATTTATGCATTATTCAAAAAATTAATATCATTTCTTTTCGCATAGTTCATTTTTCTTTTCTTTTTTTTTATTTGTCTTTTGATCGTTGGAAAAAGTTAGGAAGTTAATATTGGCATAGAGTGACAAACCATACAGTATCTTTAAAAGTATATGCCTACTTTTGAATTTTAAAAATTCGAAGCTCAATCTAAACTTCCAGTTTTTAAATTTTTTTCCAAAAAATTTTCGGAAAACTTTAATTGGGTCACAATTTAAAGCAACATATGCTGCATCCAAATTATGGGATACGTCGATCACGGACCTACGATCGAAGCGGAGCACGAATTGAAGAAGACTGGACAGTAACCTATCCATCAGGATACTTATCCGATCATGGTTACAGTAATCATCTGCCTGTTCGCTATTCATATCGAGAACGAAGACCGCGATCTGCTACAATGATGCGTCCATGTAGCTATTCTTAAATATTTGAAATTATTTAACAACATACCTTTGTCGAGAGCTAGAAAATCGTCATTAAATCTATCCAGCAGGAACAATTATCTTTTCCGGAATTGATAGCATTTTAGAATTTGATTAATTTAAGATAAATTTATTGGGATTCTAGAAGAGCTTATGTCAAAACAGATTGTGCATTGTATTTTCGAATAAAATTCATTCATCATGCTGTCTATTTTAACTCATTATCAAATATCAAAACTGAATTATGAACCCAACAATTTGTTTGAAATTTCAAAAATTTCACAAAACACGAAATATGACTTTGTAGATAGAATCATTTGCTAAATTGTAATTTCTCCTTTAGAAGTACTTTTTTTTTCTATATTAGTAAATTTTGATTTATTTATAGTACCAGATATGCGAACTTACAATCGAAATTTACCCCCAGCACCATGGGCTGCAGATGAGGAAGATGATCAGCAAATGATAGCTCCACAATCAGGTTTCCTTCTTGATATCATTCTGATTAATTTGATAGAGTTGATTAGATTAACATCAATGTTGTACAGCATAGTTGCAGCACAGGCGTTAACAAGGTTTCCTCGAGATCAACGATTAGCCAATGAACGTTTACGATTCGAAGCGATGCATGAACAACAACCTGGATATGGAAGTGATGGATCGGAAACGTTAAGTATACATTCAACTCAGAGTATACCTACAAGGTATGTTACATCATCAAATTACATAAACGTGATATACTCAAGATTTTACATAGTATTTTTTGGGAATGATACTATCTCTAGTTATCATTTTTGAAGTTGAAATCTATTATGTGACTAAGACTTTTATATCTATCTGTATGTTAAATTAATATCAATGTTTCGTTTTTCTTTCTTTCTTTTTTCTTTTTATGAAGGCAGCCACCGAGACGAATAACTAACGGTGGAAGTGAGCAGGTAAGTATGAATCAACAATTAGATGACAATGTGGAAGAATATATCGAAGAAGGAGCTATAAGTGATTCTGTGATGACTAAAGGAACCGTTACGACAACTACCAAAGATCGCAAGAAAAGTCTGATGACAAGGCTCATTCCGGGTAGAAATGCTTCACTTGGTAAGCAGCTAGTTATATGAATAAACTGATAGACATTGGGAGATATCTAATGATAGACTGATTAAAGACTATCAATAAACAATTTTATGAGTATGAGAATTATCCCGTACCAAACTTCATATTATCACAAACACTTTTAATAGTTATTCATTAATTAACAATCAATTTTAGTAACTTTATCTTAAAAAAGAAAAGTGTTTAAAATTATTTCTTTCATCATTTTCATTATTTTTGGAGAAGGTAAAAGGACAGGATTTCAACGATCTGAAGAAGTAGGTGTGCCGGAAGGTTTAACTGTACCAGGTGATTATCTTCAAACTCCTTTCATGAAGCAAACTTCGAAAGAATCAACAGATTCATCTCATAGTGACAAGTTAGTTTCATTTACATTCATCCTTGATATATTTCCTCTGTTATAAAATCGTATACGATGAATTAAAAAGATAGTTGCATATTTATATCGAAAATAGATGATATAATCAGTAACTAATAAACCAAATAGGTCAAAGGTTACGTTTTTTTTTTACACTATTATGAGTAGATGGTCAATCAAAAATCTTATAATGTAAAGCAAGGGTATGTATGGGAATAAAAATTATCAATCGAACTATGTATTTGAAATTCCTGTACATTTCAGTTGGGGACCTATTTTGACCGATGGTCCATTGGGCAGTTTTGTTGACAGTTTGGGACCTGGCCAGGTGAATCAATTCTTCCAATTGCAATTATTTTATGTCTTCATTACAAGAAATGATGCTTTGCATTCTTATCACTTATCGCATTGAAATGATTGATAAGACCAAGTAACAATGTTTGAAGGTTGTGGGCCGACAAGTTTTAGCAAGTCCGGTGCTTGGTGAAATACAAATCGGTATAGCAGCAGTTAGAGCGGGCATTGATGTTGAAATTATTCGTGCTAAAAATCTTGTGGTCAAGCCAGGTGTAAAAGTTAATCCAGGTATTAGTTATCATAAGCTTTTAACTTTCACGTAACCAAATGGAAGTTAATCTGAAAAAAGGATTCGTATGATATTGCAAAGGTATAAGCGAAATTGGAATTTCAAGAATTTTAAGATTCCGTAAAGATGGAATTTTTAAAATTACTCAAGAAACCTTTGAAAAAGATGTTGAATATTTGATATTTTTATTTGTTTACCGATAAAGTAAAAGTAAACTTTATAGCCTTAGGCTTTCCATTTATTTATTTAGGCCAATTTCAGCTCCATATGTTAAAGTATATTTGTTGGAAGGGAAACAATGCATAGCTAAAGCGAAAACACGTGCAGTGAGAAGGACAACAACACCGATATTTCAACAGCATATTGTTTTCTCTGAGACACCACGAAAAAAGATGCTTCAGGTTATCTAATAATTTGAATTGAAATTAGCGAAAGGCTAAAACAGGTTATGTCATTCGTTTTGACATTCCTTTTCATCTTTCTAAATGAATATCTCTCAGTTGATGAGTTCTAAATAATCAGAATCTTTATTCATTGAATCGAAACAGAGCGCAGTAATGAATAAACAGTTAGTTCAAAATTTAAACTAATATGAAATCAACAAATGAACAAAATATAATAGCATCAACTGATATTTAGATCACAGTAATGGCTGATTATGGTCGAATGGAACGAAAATCATTCATGGGTATTGCACAAATTCGATTGGATGATTTAGAGTTGGGTTCTGAACCAATGGTTGGTTGGTACAAGCTGTATCATGGTTCAAGCCTAGCCGGTACTAGGCCAATTCGTAAAGATAGTGATACAAGTTTGACTGAAGTGAAGCAATGATTTTGTCTCACTGTTTTTTACAAGCCTTCTCTCTTCTTTCCTTCTTTTCTTCCTGGTTTCGTTTATCATAAATGGAAATGATTTAGTTCATTTTTTTTTTCTCATTAAAGAACGAAAAATTTAATTGGAAACGCCTAAGCTTTCTATAATTATTGTAAAATAATTAATGAAAATTATTGCCTCTGTAATGAAAGATTATTCATTTCATTTTTTTTCTTTCTTTTTGATGTAACCAAAACATGAATAATATCACTGGTCACCTAATGTCCTAATTTATATGGTAAAGTCATTTTACTGTGAAGTTAGTACAATAAGAATGAGCTCAAAATATAGTAAGTATAATATTTCATTCCAGTAATGAAATGAGATTTCATTTCAATCACTTAAATAAATGCGCAAATTTTTAGTATATCGTTAGTATTTTGATATAATTCATTTCTGTACAGTTAACTTTATTTTTCATATTCACTTATTGGCAGATTTAAAAAATTTTCCATCTTACTTTTTGTTTCTTATATAGAATACTTTCAATCGAGAAGGATTCATGAATACTTCATAATGGAAGGAAATAAATGGATCATTCAACAATTAAATGATGTATTTAAAATTGCATAAAAGAGATAAATGAAACCGGGATTAAGTGTCTTCCAGGCTTGTTTGATAATGCAAAATGTAATTCATTTCATTCAGCTAATTATATTTTTCTACAAATATCATTGCTGCTAATTACATTCCCTATTTGCAAATATCTCGTTGAAAAAAAAAGGAAATTCAATTCCTATATGCATATATATCTTTTCGAAATATTAATTTCATTGAAGAATGATAGAAGTAATTATGCTCAATTATTATATTTCTACTTAGTTCAAAAATAATATATAAGATAAATAGTAAAGATTGGATAAATTTTTATGTGGAAACATTTTTGTTATTCGATATTTCCATATATAATAACGCTTTCCGATTACATAATTATGCATTGCAGCGTGAAAACGAATTTGGCTATATGTTAACAATTATTATTATTAACAAAAGGCTGCTTTTTGATTTTTTTTTTCGAATGATAATTCTTTGATTTTTCGAATGTATGCTTTTTATTGTTGAAAGTGTTACTAAATATGATCAATTATTAGTTGCATTTCATGGATATTAATTCATAGATATAAGATATTGCCAAATAAACTTCAATGGATTTCAACCGTTAAACAATATATCAGACTATTTCATCGCAAAACGAATAAAAAATTCATGAGTCACTCTGCGCACTATATCGAACTCATTATCCCATTTTCAAACAATTCAAATATGGTTGATGAAGATCTCATTATACTTCCCGATCTTTTTCCCAACGGAAATTTTCTTCTGATAACAATTCATAAACCAGTAATATTTTACTGCAAGTCCTGTGACTATTAAAGAGGTTTGTTGTGTGGAGTTCGTAAACAATCTTACTACCACACATTTATTTTCAAATGAAATTGTAAAAGAATAGGAAATACGAAATAATTACCCAAAAAAGAAGTGGAAAATTGATCTATCTTATAATGGTAACCCTACATAAACATTGATATCCTACAATGAGAACAATTCACTAAGTAAGCAATCAAGAAATCAAATAGCAAAATTAACTTTTATCTAGGAAAATCCTACTTCAACAAATTCGCAAATCTTAAAAGAAGAAATTGTTTCAACTGAAAAAATAAAGAAAGTGCGATATACAGTGATACAGCAAATACGACAGCTATGAGATCAAAAATTACAACCGCTTCTTTTTTGGAAGAGTACCTCCTGCCATCATAATATTTGCTTCCCGAGGTAATCGTTTCGTAGCACTTTTCACTGTATTTGAATTTACAAGGGCTACATCTTCTTCTTCCATCTGATCTTCTCCAAATTCAGTCTCTTTCAACGAAATCGAACAATCACCACTTTCCATTTCATATCGTTCATCTCTCTTATTCACATCTTCCTCACAGGAGTGCTGACATTGAAATATAATTATTCAAATTAAAGAATGAAAATACTCTAGCATCGGTCACCATTCACAACGCATAATAAATTAAAAAATTTTTTGAAGTCCCTAAAATTATATATCTTACAGCGAGTAAATGCTGTCTTATCGTTATTTCATCCTTTTAGAAAAAACAACCCCATGGTAGTTACAGCAGGTGCAAAGAAATCCAAAAGAGACTCCTGATTTTCCATATCTTGACTAAAGCTAGATTTTCATTCTGGCTTAGTTAAGTAGGCATATATTGTGATGCACTACAAATTACGCATCAAACCAAGCAACCTCATCATGGTGATACCCGAGAAATAAGTAAGCTTACATCAGATGTGTCTGATCGCTGTTGCTGCTTCGGTTCCCACAAAGCATTTCGCACAAAACTTCTCGCTGCCCGCTGATTCAAACAAGGTGCTGTTTTTCGTTCTTCTAGCTGTTTCAGCCGTCCCATATATTCTTTCGTTCGGTTCTAAACAATTCATCTTAATCCATCCTTGGATCATTCGAGAAGCGGGACACCGGTTGTAACGCTATCGATGGTCTGTCTGTTATATATTATAACCAGTACATGCATAACAGCTGAACATAGCGGAGCGTTGTGAGGAAGAGGAGAAAGGGAGGAGGAGGAAAAAACTTTAAAGCAATCTCCAAAAATACAGGCACGCAATGATGATGAAATCATCAATGGGTGAACATAAAAAGTCAAAACAGATCAACTAACAATTTCATTTTGCAGAAGCTCGTTATCCTTTGGTTTTTGTCCATGTGTGCAGAGCAGCATCCAGTACAGCGAATTAATCACGAACACGGACATCAAATCAATTTCTAACTTTTCTAGTGGTGGCCTCTAAAACTTGTTCAATGTAAAATTGAAAAGATTCAACGTAATAAAATCCAAATTAGCAAAAGTTCTCTGGATGTGAATATAAAATTTTGATTAATTAAAGCAATTAAAACGTTTAAAATCATAACTACTGATTGCTAAGAAATTCGATTGAGAATTATCAAGACAGAAAGTGAATACGAAAAAGCACGAAGAAGGAGAGGGAGGGAGAAAGAGAAGCGAAATACAGGAAAGAGTCAAAGCAGGACATATCTCACATAGCTTTCAGTAGGCCAAGAAGTACTTACTGACTTATCAGCTAAGAAGGTAAGGCTTCAAAGTGCTAGTCAGGGAGAATAACCGTCACATGCAGACTAGCGAAAAAAACATGACTTCCATGTGCTGACAAAAGAGTCATTATGAGCCAATTTAAAGAAGTTTTACGAGCATGACAGTTATGGTAGTTTCCCACTCACCGAAAACAGACCATTCACGGTCCTATTCCGGGTACAAACAATGTATAGCCAAATGAGTAAGGAATCCTGGTAGGATTAATTAACTTCTAGCAAATCTCCAGATATGCAAGGTCAAAATATCACAATCCATTAAAGAGTCAGTAAAATAAAGAAAGGCATGAGAGTTAATGGAGGAAGAAATGAAACAAACGATAAATAAAGTGTGATATAGGTTTGTTAAATTAAAGTCCGACCATCAGGTAAGGAATCGATCACTAAGATCGATTACTTATTTAATCGAAAAGTAATCCATTTGAGCATTATGTATGCACCAACAATGAAAGATTGAAAGGAGAATATGAAACCTGGGTATTCGCTTCCAAGGAATTCGAAAAATGTTTCTGGTAAGTATCTTCGAGAACTGTTAATGCTTCATTGAACCTCCGCAACTGTTCAACAACTTCTGGTGGTATCGAATCGCTCATCA